GAATGTGACAAGCCTCCATGTTGTAGCCCATAGCCTTCATCACTGTGTTAATCATACACCGTAATCAGCAAAGGTTCATACTTATCTACCTGCTGTTGGCTTGTGACAATATAAGAGCCTGGGAAATGACCTGGAGTTTACTCATCTGTTTGATAATGTACCTAATCTTTCGGCTCTGGTAGATGCTGAATTTTATTTTACCTTGTGTTTCCTTTTCATAAAACATTTTAACAGCAGAGCCAGAGTTCTTCACAGGTCTAAAACTGAGATCTGAAATGTAATTGTGACACACCCAAAATACACACTATGGCCACTACAAAATGAACTGTGATACTGTTTTGAAATTCACAATATAATAAATTCAGATACTTATGTGAAGTCACTGTTAACAAGCGACTGAAATCTACATTATCGTACTGTACATTAATAAATGCCCTGCATGGCAGAAAAATGAGTCTGTCAACATGGATGAAAATCCACTGAGAAGGTGGGTGAGTCAGCATCTGAACCAAGCTGATGTCACCAAGTGTCAAGAGGACCAGCTAAGCAAATGGCAAAGAAGGGGCACAATCTGCTAAGTCTGTCACTGGGCAGATAATGATGCCAAAGAGTGGAAAGGAGAGCGAACTTTCTATTCTGAGACAAATATGATTCAGGGACCAGCAAGGTTCGTCACCTAGTATTTCTGTGTAATGACAACATAACCTAAAATGGTCATTTAAAACCACTAGTAGTAGCAGAAGTAACAGTATTGTGTGTTGGGTGGTTATTCACAGCGCAGCATTTTAAACAGAGAATTTGAGAACTTAGTTTTTACCTCAGAAAACCATTGAACAGCATTACTGTGGTTCATAAGATCTTATCAGAGAATGCTACTTACCTAGATTACTTTCATTGACTGCATCTGTGAAAATAGAAAAAACTTTTATCAGTATACATAATCAACAGAGGTGGAATGTCAGAACATATTTGAGCACTGAGCCTTCTTCACTGGTAATGTTATGTCTGTGTGCGAAGTCGGGACACTCGGCCTGACATGCTGAGGCATGCACTGCAGGAAGGAGCAGGTATGCGTGAACTCAATGCACTGCTGCAGTAGAGTGCAGACAGATCACTGCCTGCTAGGCGCTTCCACTATAACAGCGTGCATAAATTTATGTACAACATTCTGAATTAACCATTTTCACAAATATCTGATTATTTATTTGAACTGGAAGTCTTATCTGTAAAAGTAGCATGAACACCTTTATTTGGTCAGTGACATTATTGTAGATGGGTCGTCAAGTCAGGTCACAGAAGCTGAACATTTTTATTGAATATTGCTAAGAAACCTTTACCATATGTATGGCTAAAATACTTTTCTGGTGATTTTTCATCCATGTTAAAATTGGTTATGCTTAGTACAAATTTGATAAGACTTCACAATAAGGTTACAATCATATACTTAGAGTAATATAACCAAATAAATAAGTACTATTGCATGACTCATGATGATTTGATGCATGAATTTATGTAAAATCTGTTCTGCTCCTGTTACTCACCACTCACAAAGGATCGAGTCACTGTGTCATTCTGTGATTAGTTCAGACTTAATATATCATCAGTTAAGGAACGTTGATTCATATCCATTCCATACATTTAATCGACGTGCCATCAAATCAGATGCATTCTAGTTTGACAATGGTTCACTTCAGACCTATGTATTTGAATGGGAGAAGAGTATTTATTCTAATGGAAATATAAAATAATGTAGTGTATGTTTGTACAACGGTTAAAAAATATTCAAACCAGGTACCAGGTGCAAATTATTGTTAGCATTTTGTTACTGACCTTCCTATAATGTTTGAAATCAGTTCTTTCTATAAATGTGACATTCATCCATACAGTCATACAGACAACTGGGTCATGCAGCAACAAGCAAAAAGCTTAATCCCTCCATTGGAATGGGTACTGTTCTGCTTATAGAGAGGCTGAAATGAACCTCTGTGTTTCTGGAATACAGCTAATTTGGTAGCACATCAATAAGTGCATGTAGTAGATGTGAATCAGCATTCCTTAACTGATGATCGATTAATCACAGAAAGCCACAGTGACTTGATAGTTTGTTACTAGTGAGTAACAGGAACCCATGATACATCTCATAGTAATTCATGAAATAAATTATCATGAGTCACGCATTAGTTAAACAAGAAGAGGATGCTTCACAAGCTGTTGGAACTCATGGAGAACACCTCACTTCCCTTTCCAGAGACTGCTTCAGCTTCTCTATGACAAAGGACGCTACAGGAAGCCTTTCCTGCTAATAGGAATACACAGTGACTGTCCTCTGTGTCAGGAAAGGGACCTCCTCTGACCACATAGATGTTCTATAGTACATCTGTTCATTATATGATCATTTGTTAATATCCATCGATGCACCCACTTGCACTGATACTGTATACAGTGCAACTTAGTATATTACTATTTAGGCTCTTTTCTAAGTTTTCTATTTTTATGCCTCTGCACCAGCGACAGACAAATGATATTTTGCGGTCTTCACCACATACTGTATGAGTCTGGACAGACATTCATGTAAGCTGCAACTTGCCTGGTTGGCGGAGTCATAAAACTGCAAGGCAGTAATTGCAGTTTTAATTCTGACCTAACTGTATTCCTTACATATCTTGTCTTTTTTGTTACTTTGTAAAGTGGCTGCTGCAACACTGAAATTTCATTTTGGGATTAATAAGGTTTCTATCAACCAGTGGACCGCAGGCACGTGGAATTCAAGTCACAATAAAATAAAAACTAAACTGGTGCACTTAGTATGACGCCATCCATCCAAACCGCCTACTAGCAACTCTGCTACCATCAAGAAATGCAGCACTTCATTCAGCCCAGCCAGAAATTATGTTGCCACAACACAGCTGGCAAAGCATTTTGGTAGTATATGATAGTAAACTCTAGAAGACAAGGTTATCTCAGTCTTCCTCAACTAACAGAGTTTTCCCAAAAAAAGATGATTTCATTGTGCTTTGATTGGTTCCTTGCTGTCAATCTAGAAACATGCCAATAAAATGGAGGTGAACAGAACCTTTACAGGTGTTCACACCATGTAAAATTCAACAGCAATACCTTTTCCACAAACAATCTAGTTATTTTGGATAATTCACATACTATGTTGTCAAATATCTTTGTGATTCTACAGGGTAAGTGAGATTCTTTGGGATGGGATAAACAGGATCTTTAAAATACTTAATTCATGATCCAGTGACCTCAACAAGGACAAGAGGGGGACATAGCAATGGCAGAAGAACTTCTTCTACAATTAAGAAAATGTATTAACTACCCCCGTCCCCCAAAACATCATCACACAATGACTATTATGCCATATTAAAGAACATAACTCATGTCAAATAGAACAACAGGGCAAGTGTGAATATTTAACACTGGTTAATAGATGTCTTAAAAACTGCACGACAGTCTCGGAAAACTTAGCCGATTAATCTGAAGGCTCCACAACCCCCTACCCTCTTCGTCAGCAGCTGAGTGAAATGCTCCTGACATCGTCACATCAAGCACTGAGAGCTAGGCAGCCTTACGAAGCAGAAATGGTGACATCGCCCTATCGACAGCTAGACTAAATAGGCCACAGCTATTTGGTTCTTTAGGATATAAATTAGACTGAATATGTCACCCAGCATCACGTCACGGCACAAGCTGTGGAAATAAGCACCTAAACCATCTCTGCTGGCCTGAGCTACAGTGTCTCTGCCTGCTTGCTTACGCTCGCTGTTCTGTTGTAAGACTTCCAGATACAGAGCTCATGCTAATTTGCACTAGATGAGGAATGAGAAACAGAGGGTGTATTGGTGGGGAATTAATGAATTATGGAGGGATTTAAATAATAAATGGGCCCACTTCAACCAGACGAGTGAGTCTTGAAAGAGGGGGGTAGTCACAGAAGTGGTGAGACACTTTGTAGAAGCCTCAGACTTTTTAAAGAGAACTGGGGCATATGAATAATACCTTTCTGGGTCCATTATCGCTTATCAAGACATCAAATGAATTATTCTGCAGGGGTCCTTGAAATGTGCGCACAGCGCTATAGTTCCACTTGAACAAGAAAACAGAAGGATGGAGCAATGCTTCCATATGCACACATATGGAAGCATTGCTCCATCTAGACATGGAAACACCTGGGAGGAATCAGTTTGCTGTCAGCAGGGAGACATTAAGCCTTCATACATAAAACACTTCATGAAGCTTTTAATGATGCAGACACTGTATTTATGCCATATGACTGAAAAAACTAAACATCATTCTTACATTTATCCTCTGACTTAAACTTTAAGCAAGAGACTGAACAAGACAGTCCAGACACAGATGAAGCATATGGAGAAGAGGGAAAAGGTGGGAGATCAGGAGTGAAAAGTGTCACTTCTCAGATCCACACTTAAAGACAGTAGTCTAAAAATACCCCAAAAGAGCTCGGCAGGAAGGCATCCTCAAAAACCAACTCAATTTTTCACCAGCAGCGTGTGAGAAACAGTATGTGACTGAAGAGCCAGTCGCTGTATTACTGACAGGCGACTCTGTTGTCTGAGGGCAGATCAACACACAGAGTCACCTCATCCGGTTATTCTGATGAAGGCCAGTGCCGAGTGCCAGCTGCAACACACACACACAATGAAGAGTTGTCCTGTGACCAGATAACCAAGGCAATACATTATATGGAACTAAGGCCTCTTTGGCCCCGCTCACTCTTCTGTTGATTTTCCATGCTGAAATACAGAATTGTCGTTTTTCTTTACCTCAATACTTGAATAAATACACTACAGCATCCCAACCAGAGTCATACCTGTAAGGCAGACTCCAACATCTACCTATTATAGTCTGAAGGACAGCTGGATTTCCAGAAAGCAACAATGCACAACTTTCTTCTTGCTTGTTAATGTTACTGTGCATCTAGAAACTGCTTGTCATCCTTGTACACAAAAAGCATATAATGGCTGTAAAATAAACATACAGGAGCTACTGGCAGGCACTGTGGCTCAGAGCAGAAGCTGCTGCTGGAGTGCTAAAGATGCACGCTCACTACTGGCTGCTATACTGGCCCAGAAAGGACAAGAATGACATGCAGGTCACGTTGACAGTCCTTGAAACACAAAATTACACATCTGAGTCTCACAGTCGGGGAAGCTAAAAGTAGCTTTGCAAGCAACCAATTACTTCACCCTGGAAGAAGTTGACCTATTCTAGGGAGAAATCTAGTTAATGTAGTAAACAAAAACTACTTAGAAAAAGTAGTTAAACTACTTTGAATTAAAAAAAAAAAGACTTAAACTTGTCCTAAATAAAACAATCCCATTTGGACTTTTCACAAGGACAGCATTTCAAGGAATGTTATATATTTGTTGTAAACAAATCTGGATTTTGCATTATCTGAGGACAATTAAAACTGTAAATAAAATGTTTAACTTGAATCTTTTAAGACCATGTGACTGACTCAAGCACTGGTCTATAAACAGTCTACAGCTTCCAGCTTTTTAGACAACATGAACGGCTTGAACACTGGTTTAAATAATGGGCCTATCTTTTTACTTGTCATAGCAGAATCTCTTATTTATATGACACATGAGCAGTCTCTTAAAGTTCTTATCCAAAAGGCTTTTTTTTTTTTTTTTTTTTTTATTTTCCGACAGCAGTCAACAAAATAAAAATGTCAAAAACGTAATTTAACTACTTGGATCACTATGTAAATATAGTGTAAATGTAGTTGAACTACCAGAAAGCTACTGTAAAAGGTATTTCAACTATTTATTTACATGCAGTTCACTACTTCCCAGCACAGAAGAGGAGTTGGTTTGCCTTGACTGTCACATCTCTCCAGCTTCAACAATGAGGAGAGTTGCTAGCCGTGTG